CATATTACTTGGTATCATGTGACGTTACGATATTATAAGCGGCACGGTTATTAACGCCGCGTGAAATCAAATGAACAGTAATAAAGCACGCGTCAGCATGCATTATCGCTCCCATTGTCTCTTCATGCGACCCCGCATATTCTCCGGGACTTTGTGAAAAAAGCGTTAATTTGAAACATGTCGATATGGCCAAGATGATTGATATATCGATATCATGAAAATTTTTCTTATTCGAGATTTTAAGAGACGTTTAAAAAGAATTTTAGAATTACAGGAGGTCACAGAATTTTACATGTTTTAAAGATTAAAGAGAATAAAAAAATTGCATTATAGATGATAAAGCCCGCCGCGTAAGATTGTTTCTATCTTGGTTCTGCTTGTCATGCGTTCGCTCCTTCAGGACTTGACAAGCAGACGAAGCAGACGAAGCGCAAAACAAGAAACGAAAGCGAAATCCGGTCGATCGGATGTCCGGAAAATTACGTTCGAGGGAAATCGCGCTGTTAAGAGGAAAAACGCGAGGGTGGAAGAGGTGAAGGAGGAGAAGGTGGAGAGCGAGGTAACGAAATGACGCGCGAGCGCATTTCGATTTCCTTTGAACCACCGCGCGAACTCTCGTCCTTCGAGCAGCCCTCGCTTCTCCTCCTCCTCCTCCTCCTCCTCTTCCTCGTTCTCTCGCTGCCTTTGTCGCTTCGACGTTTTATTGCCCTCGCCCTTTCCCGCTCTTTAGAGCGAATCAGAGACCCTCGCAAATTTTTCGCGGATCCTGGCAATCTTGTTCGCCGACGAAAAGCAGTTCGTCTTGACGAAAGGACCTCTTCCGGCGCAAAGTCTTATAAGCGTGCGGGCGGAAATGCGTTTGTATAACATCAGACACTCTCTATGAAGGCTCGTACAAAGGAGAGATCTCAAAATTTAAAAATTGAAAGAGTCGAGGGGATTGATAAAAATGTAATAGAAAAACAGAAGAATACAGAGAATGCGTTTTTAGATATCGACTCTCTCTCTCTCTCTCTCTCTCTCTCTCTCTTTTTCAGTCCTTTTTATAATCTTCATTATTTTTATTTTATTTTATTAAAATTTTGAATAAAATAGTATGATATAAAGTACGTTTCTAGATATCGACTCTCTTTCTCTTTCATTCTTTCACTATAATTTTCATTATAATTTTTTTTATTTTATTTCAGTACAATTTTGAATGAATATATTTTTTTTGAATCGGGGAAAATTTCAAATGAAAGATATTTCGCTTGCAAGTGAGAAAATTTTCGCATTTTTACTACTTTTGCATTTCGCTACGTGATTCTATTTTTCTTCTTCCATTTTCTACGTTCTCCCTTTTCTGCTCACCTTTAACGACTATAAGGGTCCTTCGTAGAGGGAAGGTTGATGCGAATCAAGCGATTTTCCGTAGATCTTACGAGATCTGCGCGTTCCGGCGAGAAAGCACGCATATGCGGAAAACCACGAAGAAATTCTTTCTCGTGATAACGTGCGAAAAATACGCGGAGGCACGTTTCGCCGAGTACATACGCAGATACGTGTTAATTCTACCACCTTTAAATTATTCTCGAAACAGGCCCTCGCTTCTTTTAAATTACGTAATATATAACTTTCAGATGAGGTGAAAATTGGACATTGCATCACAAATACTTCCTTTTCTCTATCTTTCATGAAACAACTTAGATGCGATTCTTTATATAAAGTGGTATTCTCCCCATGTATACATAACGAGACAAAGAAGCAAGATCACGGTCGGTGTTTTTTGGCAAAAGAATTTCACTCACGCACGGCAACCGGGTAACTGGATTTCACGGCGTTAGTCTCTGGCGTTGCCTTAAGAATGGCCGATTATCACTCGGCACGCAAAAATGCATCTAAAATTATATTTCTCGCTCTTGCGATTCCTCTTACCGAGCGTATTTATTTGCGCGTGACTAATACGTTCGGATGACAAGCATCGCGGTAGTTTCGCTTGTTACAAATAGCTCTCTTTAGCATGGCAGCAAAAAGTATTTTTTTTGATACTTACAGACTGTAAAGCTTGCATAATATAAGCTGACGTAATCAAATTTTTAATCTCTCCGATGAGCCTACTGGAGATATGCTGCGAAATGCTTTGAAAAAGTCTACTATAAAATTATGTATGTTGTTTTAGAGATATATTGTTTCGCAAAACTAGCGTATGAAGTATTGTATGTGTGTGTGTTGCGTTGTAATTATTGTTAGTCATATAGTACGCGTAATTCAATATCTCCTCGAGGGAATTGCGATATATCAATTTTCTGCTTTTCGTTGTAAAATTAAATGGGAGTGTACTCGATCGATTAAATTTTTTTTCTTACAATAAAATAGAAGAGAGAGAGAGAGAAAGCATTAATCACGTGATCCTATCATTTCGACATCACGCTACGTTTCCCGATGTTTCTGTCCCCTTTCGCAGAAGCGCGGCGTTACGTTCCGTTTGCCTCTTTTTAGGTAGGG